ATCGTTTCTTCTAATTAATAAGAAGCGATTCTACTGATGAGGAAAGAACAAACATATCTGCCATGCATTGCATACTATGAAAAAAAAGCAAACGGAAGATGCGCATTAATGCATAACCTGTAAAAAAGGAAATTACCTTTCGGCCGATCCATTTTTTACATTTTTTATAATCTTTCAGCCCTTTGAATGATACAAACTGCGTTAGACGTGACAAATTTTCTACTCTATATCAACTTTTGCTTTCCAGCACAGAAACCTTAAGCAGAAAGCAGAACGAATCGAAAAAACGCAGTAGCTGACGATTATGCCTAGAAACAGCGACGATAATTATAAGCCTTAGAAACACTAGAATTTCGAAAAGAAAAGCTTTTACGAATGGAGCTAATACACAGTTCAGTTATTCCAAACTTTGTTGGCATAATAATAAACCCTTTGTCTACGCTGACAGATGGTCTGAACAGCTGCTTACTGCCTAATTTGTTGTTCTGCCTCACTGTGCTGAAAGATATAGCAATATTCAGTTCGTATATTAGTCATTTAGTCAGTCAGAGAGACAGACAGTCCGTCAGTCATTTCAGATGACCGTATAAGCATTTGGATCGCTGATGCAGACGCCTCCAAGTTCCTGATCCTGTGCCAGCGTTTGAGCCTCAGCAGAAGATAACAAAAGCCAGGAGCACAACCATTCCATATACATGCATAGCTGTCCGTATACTTCATGAAATGAAGTACAATACCTGCTTGAGCTCTGTTGGACTTTATATGTAATTCAAAGGCTAGACAAATAATTCAAAAGCTGGGAGGGAACAAGATCGAATTTCGTGCCATCAGAGCAGATTAGAATCTCGTCGTCACGATCTAAATTTGCCTAAATTTATAATCATAAACAGTTGCGCATTTTGTGCCTCCATTAACGCGGATCCAACATGATCCAAAAACTTGGAGAATATGCATATAATAAATTATATATGTAATGTCAGCCCTTATATTTTCCAATCTTTATATTTATCAGGAATCAAAAGGAGTGAAATGAACTTTGTGGATGAGCGATACCTCGTGGGCATCGAAGGTTCGGACGCCACCACATCTGTCGACGCAGCACGGTGCACCGCTCAGCTTCGCTGCTGCAGCATCGCGTGAAGTAGACGTCTAGCTTTGTTAAGACTTGCAGATTGGTCACAAAGAATGCCCTATTCCGAAACAAACCTCTTTTCTGCTCAGAAAATGACTATTAAGGGAGAAACGCGCTATGAACGGCTTGATTCAAATTTACAAACACATTTATTAAACACTTCAATACTTCAGCAGGCACCGTACTAAGCAAAACGTGCAACAAGAAAGGCATAGACAGCTACGGTAGGCATCGAAACGAAATTAACCGTTCATACAGATTAAAGAAAAATATACTTTGGCATACAACAAAAGCCAAGGTTTAAACAGCCTCATATTATATTTAACATGAACAGGTACATATTCTGAAGAAACCAAAAAAATTAGCACTTACTCCTTTCCCGCAAAGAAAGGTAACACGCGAAAGTCAACGCTAATATCGTCAAATCAGAATCAGCGCATGCGCATCGGCCAGTAACAGTTGGCATTCCGTTTGAATGCCGATGTTGCGGCTTTCATCCCGTCGGCAATTTCAATTCGAGGTGTGCTGTTCCTCACAATAAGTCATGTATTTTCGTATGCATTTGAGGTTCTTTGATTATGCATATCGGGAAAGGAGTAAAATCTGAAAATTTACAGTTCTGACGAAGCAACATTCAGTGTAATACCTTGTGATGGCCCTTGGGTTGAGGATATTCCAAGAAACCTCAGGTATATAGATAGACTCGTAAACAAGCAGATATTTGAAAAAAAATATCACGAAAAAAGTAGTTCAATATTAGAGGAGCAGCAATGGAGCTTTAAAACATTTGATGACTTAGATATTGTGTCGATTATCATACTGTATCATCAGCTATCATAGGGGTTCAGGCGAACTGCAGTACTAGATGCTAAAGCGCACGTTTTGGGCAAAATAACCATAAGCCTTGCCTGCTAGTATTACAGTGCAAGAACACCATGCAATATCTTTAGACCAACGTTGCTCATTCGATAGTGCGTCTGACTCATACCGTCCGGTTCTCGGTTCGGGTCAGGTTACTAGCATTTTTCTTTCAAAAATAAGTAAAATTAATACTACTCTGTGTAGAGCAACGAGAGATTGCACGCTATGATTTCTACATAGCTACACATCTGCCTTTCAAATAGGTTACTCTTAGCCTATGGCACTGAAACGGAGATAAACGCTGTTTTACGTCAATTTAATGGAAAACAAAGGTGTCAGAGATATTGCTCAGTTGTTAAGTGTAAGAAAGGTTGACATTTCAACGGTTGAAAACTATTCTCGTATTCTGTGGATCGCAGGTCAGTAATTTAAAGTGTCAATAAAAGTTTAAAGTAATTCGGCATCTCCGAAATTTGAATTAAATATTTTAACCAATGCGCCACCGTTTCTTGTTATTTATGAAAGTCAACAAATCATGGTGCAGCCCTGTAACATCGCGCATTGCGCATTCGTTCCACCATTAAATTAGCATGTTACCATATTTATGACTGAGTCGCACCTCGGCAAGGATGGAATCAAGAAAGCACCAGGTCTTTCGTTCGTTCCCATGCCGACACGCAGCTCTCAGCAG